TTGTTTGTTTCTTTGTTTTGCTTCTCACTTGTGTGCGGCCCCCAGCTGATGTTTCTGTGGGTCAGCGGCCCCCGACCCAAAAAAGGTTCCTCACCCTTGAGGAACTAACTACATTGAAAGACAACAAAATACAAGTATACAGTTGGGAGCCAAATGTCAAGTAAATAATCAGGAAGAATCAGAGTTATGGAATCTTTGTATTTTTATTTAGAATGAACAAACAAAATTAGTAAGTTGGAAAAACAAACAAACAGGGAAAAGAGAATCTAGGCAAAATACAAATAAGTCAACAGTTCCCAAAGGAGAGATTACAGTGCTGGTGGGTTTTGTTTGGCTCACTCACACTAAGGAACTTGGCTAGATAGCTATTCACAAGTAATTATCCCTTGTCACATAGGACATCATGACATCTTTCACAAATAATGTCCTCCCAATGAAGGAGAAGCCAAGATTTCTGTAAAGCAGTTTATGAAAAGTCAACGTTTCCCATTATTTCAGTCCTTGAAATAAATTAATGGGAATATAAACAATCACATACCGCTGACTACGCTCATGGAGCTTTACATGGGACAGCATTACACATGGTTCTGGCTCGGAAGGGCTGACATTCCAATCTTGAATAGGAAGTCTAAATTGAGTAAAGGTGACTCCCATGTAAAAATCCTAGGGTTTTGGCCATGGTGTAAAATTCAGGTCTGGCTCAGCAGTTGGAGCACAGCAGAGCTGGGAAGTGCTTGGCTCTGTGGTTTTGATTTGGGCCCTATCCCAAAATAGCATTGGGCTTGGTCCTTGCATACCAGTCTGATGTTGAAATAGGAATTTTGGATGCACAAGGAACACAGGCTGGGTCCAATAACAGTCTGACATACAGGATTGTACTGATATACCCCACCTGTTCAAAAAATCATGAGTCAGGCTCCCCACATTCATGAGATTTTAAAAACTAATAAACATTCTCCAAAATTTACTTACTGCTGTTCAAGCTTTGGAATATACCTTGGTCACATTTTCAAGATTTTTTCCCCCACCATTCAGACTAGAAGTATTTTTGAGGAAAGCCACTAGTCTCCCATAATGCATCTCTCCAGGAAAGATAACAAATCCCTTACTACTTGACAACAACAAACATGATGCAGTAATTAACAATGGACCATTGTTGGAGGCTTGATGCAGATATACTTCAAATAGGCAACTTATGGCTGCTTATCAGAAGCCACCCATTTCACCTGGCACTTCTCTCACAAGGTTTTTCTGTCTGACCTGGTTCTGGGCCCAAGAAGAGCTTATTTCACTGATAGTTCTGAGCTTTCTCTTCTTGGTTAAACCTGAGGCACAGAAAACCTTGACCAAAGTTCAGAAAGATTCAGCTTGAGTTCTCTCGTCTGAATGGATTTCTCCACTTCTCGTGTTCCTTATCACCCAGGGTATGTCTACACTACCCTCCTAGTTCGAACTAGGAGGGTAATGTAGCATACCGCACTTGCAAATGAAGCCCGGGATTTGAATTTCCCAGGCTTCATTTGCATAAGCGGGGAGCCGCCATTTTTAAAAACCCGCTGGTTCGAACCCCGTGCAGCGCGGCTACACGGGGCTCGCACTAGGTAGTTCGGACTAGGCTTCCTATTCCGAACTACCGGGACGAGGTGGAACGAGGTGGAACGTGGAACGAGGTGTACCGGTAGTTCGGAATAGGAAGCCTAGTCCGAACCACCTAGTTCGAGCCCCATGTAGCCGCGCTGCACGGGGTTCGAACCAGCGGGGTTTTAAAAATGGCGGCTCCCCGCTTATGCAAATGAAGCCCAGGAAATTCAAATCCTGGGCTTCATTTGCAGGTGCGGTATGCATACATTACCCCGCTAGTTCGAACTAGCGGGGTAGTGTAGACATACCCCCAGAAACAGTTCTCTCGTCTGAATGGCTTTCTCCACTTTTCATGTTCCTTGTTTCACTAGGCACAAGGGAGTGGTCAACAAAGGTGTTCTCTGTCAACCGATCTGTGTCTTGACTGCCGCGCTGTGCCGATGATCAGCTGAGTCGGCACAGCGCAGCGGCCATTTTTATTTTAATGAAGCCGGGGATATTTAAATTCCAGCTTCATTGACTATGCCAGGTGGTCTAATTTACATGCCCCTGGCGACAGAGGCATGTAGTCTAGATATACCCAAAGGGTACATCTACATTTGAGCTGGGGGGGAGGGTTCCCGGCTCACAAAGGTGTGTCTGAGCCAGCTCTGCCTGAGCTAGCATGCTAAAAATAGCAGTGTGGCTAGGGTAGTATAAGTGGTGGCTCCAGCTAGCCCATCCAACTATATACCTATCCAGACTCTCTGGGCACATGCTCAGATAGTCCAAGCCACCACCCACGCTGCTCTGGCTGTGCTGTTATTTTTAGCTTGCTAACTCAAGCAGAGCTTAGTGTAGGTACAGCGGCATGAGCTGGGAACCACCTCTCCCAGCTCAAATGTAGCTCTACCCCAAGAAAAAGGAAGAGACTTCAGAGACTTATTATCAAGAGAAATCAGAGTATTCACTGATGTTTAAGGCCAAAAGGGACCATTAGATCATCGAGTCTGGCCTCCTGCATAGCTCAAGCCTTAGAATTTCATCCAGATACTCCTGTACTTAGCCCAGTGATGTCTGATTTGAAGACTTCAAGAGATGGAGAATCTACCATGTCTCATACTGATGAACTGGTACCAACTGAGAAAACAGGATCACACTGCAGATCTTTGTGGTTTCATATTCCATAATAGATCCCCGGTTCCAGGATTACCTCCAGAAATGTCAGACAGAGGCTAACAGGTGTACCCATAATAAACCAATGCCACCCTCTAGCAAGCTTAACTGGAATGAGTGAAATGCAGTGGTAGAAACAGTGTAGGCTGGAATGTGTGATCAATTCATCAATGCCTTCAAAGAGGTTAACTCTATCCAGCATAAACCAGCTGCAGATGCAGAAGAGAAAGCATGGTATTATGGAGACATCTTGCAGCAGACCTTATTCCCTGGAATACCTAATTCCTCCGCCTCGTCTTTCTGACATTGCTTCTTAATTCCAGATACAGCTGCCCTTGCCTTCGTCCTCCAGGAGATCTCATATAGGGGCCCATCAAAATGGTGATGGGCTCAGTGTTTCAGGGCAGATTACACTTGTTCTTCGGATCTGCTAGGATCCACTCTTCTGATGGGTTCCACTTGTGTGGATTGGCAGCATCCAGAGCAGATGTATTTCAGGAAACATAAATAAGCACTCCCCGATAGGATAACAGTTACAATGATCATAACAGTGGCACTGAACGCCGGTGACACAGTGTCCTCCAAAACTGAGTGGAGTCCTCCAGTTGCCGAGAAGGGAGGCAGCTCCGTGTGCTGTTCTAAATGGGACAAAGCAGAAGCAAGTTAGACAACTTCTTTGGAGTCATATTGCAAACTGCAATATTGAGCTAAGTCTGATTAAAAGATAGTAAAACCCTCCCTCCCACCCCCCTTCATTTGTCTCCACCTTTTGTCTCTCCTCGCATGTTTAAATTGTAAGCTCTTTGGGTAAGGAACAATCTCAATTATAAATGTACAAGACTTTTCTCTAATTGAAACCTGCCATGGTTGGCCATGGGCTCCCAGAACCAGAGTCTGCAGTCAAGTGTCAGTGGGGCCAGCACCCCAGAGGCATCTGAGGTAGGGATCAAACTGGAGATCAGAACTACAAGTCAGGAACCTGAATCAGGATACTATGGGGTAAGAGGCAGGAGATGGACAGGAACCAGATGACACAGGGAAGAAGCCCTGTTATTCAGAGAGCTTCCGTCCTGCTGCTGCTTAAGTAGGGCCAGCGGGCCAATCAGCAGCTCTAGGATGCCATCAATCAGGATTCAGGGTGGAGCTCTACAGTAGGCTGAGCATCATGCATCCCAGATAAGATATTGTCAGCAGGATGCCAGATGGAGAATTGAAGCGTGCCTGCTCTTATGGGTCTGAGAATCAAAACGTATGAGTTATGACAGGATCTACAGATTCTACTTCAATACAAAGAAATAACAATACTCAGTGGGAGCCAGGAGTGGTAGAATCTGGCCCTGCCATTCATTTGCACTGAGAAAGGCAAAGTTTTCAAAAAGTATTGTCCAATGAAGCTGCAATTAAGAAGCTCCAACAAAAGCTAATTGTGCCCTTGTCAAGATTCATTTAGGGTTCCTTTATTTTTAATACAGCTTTCCAGCATCCTTACTAGTAACTGGTTATCTGGTCATTTTTCACCTAACCCATCTGTTTGCTTATACACCTTGTAGACTGCAGAAATCTATGCACAGCATGGCTGTGGTGATTGTGAATGCAATAATTCTAGTAGCCCTGTCATTCTGATAAGCTGCTGGTGCACAAAAACCCCTTTTTCATTGGAATAAATGATATGCGAATATACTGCTGATCCTTATCAAACAGATGCAGAAAGTATACCAGGCCATTCTCCCAGTACAGAGAGAACACGGATGATTGTTCAAGTTTGCTGTTTCTCTGTAATATTTACTTTTCTTATTAAGCTATTCTGCCTCAAATTTTAATGTAGCCATTGTGTATTCCAATTTTTCATAGTACAGGCTATGGTATTCATTGCCAGGGAACGGAAATGCTCAGGAAGAAATGGGGTCAAAGTATAATACCTGCAGGGAAGAGAGTGAGAGAGGGGGGTAGGAAGATCAGAACTTTGAGGTCAACTGTAGCTGGACCTTGCTCCAGCCTGGGTTCTTAGGCTGCTGGGTCAAAATGTCATTTCCAGATCTGGGTAGTGGGGTCTGATGTTGACTGAAGTTTGTAAATTGTCCTCTTATTTCATAAGATGTCTCTTCCTTCTGGGAGAAGACTTCTTGAAGATCCTGGATCTAGCATTTTAATGATACTGATGGAGAGGATTTTCTACAGGAGAGAAACTGTACCCTGGACTTATAATGTGGGCCCTCATTGCCAGAATGTAACATTTTACTCTCTCTCTCTCTGCCCACATAAAGTAAAAGACAGTGGAGCGTCCAAATAGCCTGACAGCTCCAAGGGGGAATTCAGCTTGGAGACACATGCACCTTATTCTGATGGCTTGAAGGTATGTTGAGCAGCCCTGTGCTACAACATGTGTGTATTTCCAGACTTTGTGGGCAAGTGAAAAGCCCCGCTGTTTGCATGAGAACCAACATCAGAATTCAGACCCGGGGCCTTAAAGCTCTTGCAAGCAGTAACAAAGTACACTCAATTCAGACCCAGCTACTAGAGGAAAAGTCACTGTGATGCTGCAGATGCCTTGAAGAGAAGCAATCAGTGGCTCTGTTTAAGCTCTGAGTCACTGATTGAATTAACAGATGCTCCCTCTTGGGTATAGAAAATGTTGGTGGGCCCCAAGAAATAACCTTAAATAATCAGCAATGGCAGAAAGCAGTGTCCAAAATTCACTGGACTAGATAACTGTGCTCTTTTTAGAAGCCAGACTGGGGGAGAGAAAAAAATAATTGTATACTCCAAGATACAACAGGCTTTGTGTCTGCACTCATTTAATGTACCAGACAAGCCATTTGCTAATGATCTTTGAAAATGGGACAAGAACATGTGGATTCTTTGTCTGTAATTGTATAGATCAGAAACACAGTTCAACACAGCTTCTTAGATCAGTCAATTTTGTTAGTTCAAAATGCCATTGGTTCAATGATTTCAAAAGCGTTTATGTTGATCAAGGTAATCAGGAGGAAAAGGAAAAACAAGGAAGGTCAGCACTGGTAGATGCAAGCATCCAGTACAGGGAATTTTGCCTGATATTTATTGAAGGTGGTGTCTCACTTTCAAATATAATAATTTCAGTTTGAGAAAATTAATTTTTACCCCACAGTGTCTGTTGCCACTTTTGGCTCAAGAGGTTAGCCAATATTTGGATAGGCTGGATTGTTTCCATTAGGAAGAGAAAATAGGGTACAAATCAGGTATTTCTTTGGTGTAATCCTGCTTATTTACAAAGAATGTACACGGAGTCCTGTTTTTTCTGAACACAGTGGAAGCACAATAGCCAGTTTCCTTGTCAGAAAGCCAGGTTTGGCTTTCTAGCTAATATTGTGCCTGTAAGAATTGCTGTCTCATCTACCTCCCAAAGCCATGCTCACTATGGCTTTTCTTGTGCAGTGCTGCTTTCTGCTTGTTTTCACCTTTCTCACACTGCTTGCTAAAATAATCCCTTAGCCCATGGCTACGTCTACACTGGCCCCTTCTCCGGAAGAGGCATGCTAATTTGGAACTTTGGAATAGGGAAATCCGTGGGGGATTTAAATATCCCCC